GCATTTATTTATTTTTTTGCTGACAATGCTCAATAGCGGAAAATAGCGGTGTGTGAGAAAGACGTTGGGTTGTGTAGGAGAGCAGCTGCCTCTGCTGACTCGGTGCTCAGTTCAGCTTCTCTCCGCTCCCCCACCCCCACCAGCTTTGGGCATAAGTGATGACTGCTGCCAAAGATCCATGAGGGTAGAGAAAAATAACAAAATCTCTTTTTGAGGCCACTTAAATACAGATTAAGCAGTCATAAAGATGCTAGCCATCAAGTGAAAGGATTGTTGTAGTTGAATATGATAGAGATGCTATGTATTATTATTTCCTTACTGAATAAGTGGCATGCTACTTTTTGTATCTATTGTATCTTTATGTCTCACATACAGGTTTTTGTTTTTTAGTGGGGAGCAGAAAACATTGAGTTAACATTTTCAACATTTGAATACATTGTCTAGACGAGAGCTTTTAAAAAATATTTATCCTTTTGTTTTAAAATGTAAAGCTTTACACAATAGCATATCAAGGGCAATGCAAGATTTAGTCTTCATGAGTACTAAAAATACTTTTGGGGAATACAAATGGTGAAATAAAATTTCCAGGACAGGTCATTAACTTTTGCCAAGGTGTAGAGTAAAAACGAATCACAATTTGCGTCTCCACTAGTGATAATCTTGTGGTTTTAAGGTATCACAATAAGGCAATTTGCTATTTTTCCCAGTTAGTGCAACATTTAAAGTTGGTTGATTGGTATTATAGTTGTGGGTAGTTTTTATTACCATTGAAAAATACTATTTTTAAGTTAAGCAGGAACTTACTGGATTTATGCTTGCTATATGGTTGTTTACTTATTATAATTTAGAAAAATTAAAAAAAAAATTGAGCTTGGTGTAACATGACCATATTGTGATGTGTCCATTGTCTAGACGTGTTAATGATTGTGCATTGTGATTCTTGCATGAAACCAAAAAAACCCCAGGAATTCCAAAGTATATGTAATATTGTTATTTTGGGGCACCACTGTTGTGAATAGCTTTTGCTTTTATCTATGTGAGGAAATGTAAGAAAAGACAGTTACTTATGTGAAATTAACATTTTGTGTATATAGTTTGAGCGTTTAGAAATTGAGCTTTTCTTAGCAACTTTTCCCCTTGTGCATTTCTGTGTGTGTGTGTATATGTGTGCGTGCTCGCACACTCACGCGCACACAGACTTATTTGTCAAACACTGGGCACATTAAAAGAAGCTGTGAGCTACTTATTAGGTTAAAGCAATATTCCCAACATTTTAGGAATTGCAGTACCGTATATTTTTTAAAAATTTGGTGACAATTTGAACTCCTTTTCCTTAGAGTATTGTATGCCATATTTTTGTTTAAATAAGGTATCTGTTTCAGGAAGATTTCAGTGCTTCTTGAGATAATTAGAGACCACGTAGGGTACTATAGAATCAGAGTTGCAGTAGCCACATTTGGTAAATTTCAGTTGTAGAAAATTCTGTCAAAAGTATTGGTCTAGCCTTTCGTATTGTAGCAGATACACTGATCTGGCACTTAGAATGTGATTATTAAGGTGGTGAAAATGCCTTATGTTCTCTCAATGAAGGTTGCCACAGTTACCAAACTATTCTTTTATTCTTTCTGATATGCAAATGTATTTGTAGACCTTGAGAAATGAAAGTACATATACATAGGAGGGTTGTAGTGTAATTGTTCCCCTGTGAAGAACATTGTTAACAGCTCCCTGCCAGCTTTGAAGGTCATTGTCTCATAAATGCAGATCTGGTCCATATTTTTTACACATCTGTTTCATTTAATACATATCTATATTTATTTACCACATTTACTACCTTACTTTGTTATTTTATTTGGGAGAAAAATAGGAAAAATGAAAAAGCTACCAAATATCTTTGAATTCACTATACCAAATGGAGTCATTTAAATGCTTAGACATGCGATATCCTAAGGAATAGATTTTTAACTATCTTTCAGGTTCTAATAGTTTATGAAATATTAAGAATATATGTTGAATAAATGCCAGTAGAAATATGTATTGAAAAATACACATATTCAAGTCAGAAATATTAATCACTTTTGTGATTATTGCAAAGTAGAACTCCCCTAGAAATGAATTTGATTTTACTGGGAACATATTAAAATAACTACTGATTAAATAGCTAGGTTAAATTAGTTTTTGCAGTTAAATAAGGCACTACCATTAATAAAATATGTGTGTACAGAGGCAGTTCTATAGTGGAACTAAGGTTTGGAATGGATTGTGGCTCAGCCACTTAGTAGCTGTGGGGCTTAGGGTAAGGGAGGGAATACTAGGGGAGAGAACCAGTGTGTGGAGCCCTGTACTTGCCAGGCACTCTATCTGTGTTACATTATCTCATGCACCTCACAATGTTCTACCTCTTGTACCAGCTGAAGAAAATGGGATTGTGGATTGGTGGGAGGGCCAATGTTTGTTGACTGGCTAATTCTGTACGAGGCTATCTGCCAGGTGCTTTGCTCATACCTTACATCAACCACTTGAGAGGTAGGCGGTATTATCCTCATTTTACAAATGAAAAACAGGTCCAGGTGAAGGGAGCTGCTCAACGTTAGCAGGTGACCTTATTATATTTAAACCCTGTTGTCTCTAAATCCCATCGTTCCCTTTATCCATTCTGACTCCTTAAATCATTCCACCTGTCTGTGCCTTAATTTCCTCATTTATAAAATGTGAATATTAATATGTATTTCGCAGTAAAGAGAAAATCATTTGGAAATGTTACAGATAATAAGGAACATTTAAACAGAGTAATATACTATACTTACATTTCCTTATTCTATGCAAATCAAAAATAGAATTGAGAAATATTTTACTTAAGCGGTAAGTTCCCATAGAAGGATTTCTGTTAAATCTCAATGAAATTGTAAAATCCAAGGCTGGTATGATTGGAATCTTCATTAGAACTATTCTTTAAAGTTTAAGAGTTCAGGTTTGCTTTCCTTCTATCTTACCACGTCTCTGGCTTTAGAGGTTCACTTATTGCCCAGACCGTGATTTGTCTTTTCTAAGAACTGCTTCACGTTTGGTAAGCAGAATCCTTGGTTTCATTAATGCAAAAGGGATGTTGTTAGAAAATTTGGATAATTTTATTCACAGAGGAAAACATAAAGCTATTGTGTTCTCATGAATATTTTTAAAAATTTTATTGTAAAAGTAATTATGCTGTTTTAAGGGTCTCTGTTACAATAACAAGTACGACTGATTCTTGAAACTAAGATAGTTCCAAAATTAGCCTTCTAGGACCCTAACAAGCACTTGTATTCTGTTTCTTAATTTGTATATTAAAACATTTGTTATATAAAAGGAATGCAGATAAGCCTTTTTCAGACAGAAGGTAAATTCTAGATGTGTATTTTTGCTTTTATTTTTTTGTGTTTGTAAAAGTACTGTTCAAGGACACGCTGGTGGCATCCAAGAGAAACCTGGAAGCATTCACCACAGCAGATTTTACTCAGTGATATTTGTATTAATTAGCATTCTCTTAAATGCTTGGAATGAATATGCTAGGTGAGGAAATTCAACATAGTGTAAAATAGGAGAGCATGTGGTTTCTGAGTCTTCTGTTTGTTTAATTGTCCAGAGACTGGTTTA